GCACTGTATCGTGGATGCGGCCTGTCGGCACTGAGAAGCTTGTCTACGGTATCTAAAGGTCTGTCAATATTTGTCGAAGTGTTGCATCTTGCCGCGTAGTAGATCCCTCTCGACAATTATGGCCCACACAGCCGGGCCGAGATGGCGTCGCGTGCTGCTGTTGCGAATCGGTACGCGTAGCCGCGTGACATGACCTGGTCAGACCACCGAGATGTGTGCAATTACGCGTGCACGAATCTCCCCGGATGCATCATGTGAGAAGTGTCAATAATCCATGTGGAATGCGATGGCTGGGCGACGTTCGCAATATTTGTGGCGTTGTTGGTGATGGTGTCATTAGTTCTTACGCGAGAAGGGGAAGTCGGGGCCGCCGGGGGGGCTAGCTACTTCTGCATCCGAGGTCATCCCACGATTCCATCAACACATCGACACACGCGGCCCCTGAGGATGAGTTGAGCTTCCGTACGACGTTTATAGGCACACAAAGAGCAGCGTCAATAGTTCTTTGACCTCATGGCTGCATCGGGCAGAGCGTTTCGCGTGGAAGCGCAGTAAGGAGCACCCTTGCGATGTACCGCTTTGTTTGCGTCGCCTCGGCGGCCCACGACAGCACTGCCTTTGCGTCTGATGATGGTTTGATGCAAACATGCTAATGAGGCTTGATCATGGTCGTGGTCGCACCTTCATATCTGGTCGCTCTCGTCCTATCGTCATCATCCATCGATCAAGAAATTTAACCTCACACAATGATACCCGCACTTCGAGGAACAGACGATGGCTCATGCCCAGAGGGAGGCGTGTTCTACAAGTGCAACGCCTTCCGAGGCTGCTGCACGATAGACCCATGCATGCCAGGTAGTACTTGTCCTGCCGACAAGGACCGGACTCCAGGACGATGTAAGTGCACCCAGTTTGTTGGGCGGTTGTAAGAGCTGACCGTAAGTAGCCTCACATACATCATCGCCTATCCCAATTACATCGGTCTTGATGATCTCGATCACCGCAACGACTTCTTCGATAGCTTCTCCAACGGCCTCTGGGTCGTCCCTTGATACTGGGTCTACATTCAGCCTAGAAGAGTCCTCGTTGGAGACTGTTACACTGAGCTCATCAGCCACAGCGACACCGTCTATCAACGCACCAGTATCAGCTGGTCACGCTCAGTCGTCGATCGTAGCGCCCGTGGTCGGCGCAGTGCTAGGCACAGTCATCTTGTGCGCATTGATCGCCTCTATACTGCTATACCTAAAAAAGAGACGGCGGGCGAAAGTATACAAAGCAGCCACATACCCTTCTCCTTTGGTCGGTGACGATATGACATCGCAGTTATCAAGTAAGCCCACGCGTTACGCCTCGATCTTCGGTACACAGTGCTGACTCCATCCAGGGAAAGCATCCACCCAATTCCAGCAGAAAATAGCAGCACTTTACAGAGCAGACTCGATCACGGAACCAGAAGATCCACCCCAGCTAGACAGTCGAGAGATAGGTCAGCATGAACTCCATCGCAACGACTCGATGGCACGTCTCTCTGAGCTTCCCGCTGAACCCATACCATGGCCAGGCCATGCTGCCCACGGCTAGTCCTTTCTTCGATCATGATCATATTACAACAGAAGTCGCTGGGACATATCAAATTAGCGAGATGTGATGAATACTGTAACTGTACGAGACGCAGGCGTCGAAATTAGACGGAAGAATGTTATGAGTCAATGTAGTAATACTGATCACAGCATCAGACGAGAAGGAGATTCAGATACCCCATAGCTCCGGTAGCTTAGAAACTTCGAGATTGCACCAGCGCAGCACATGGAGTTCCTGGTGTGATGTTTGCCAATTTTCGTTCTAGCCTGCGACTGCCGCAGCTGACCAATCACCGACGACTAGCCCCGCTGACGTCACAGTCGGGCAGCTACGATCTCACACCCTTCCGTCACTCGCGCATGCCTAAATCTGCGCCAACTTTACCCGTTCGCTTTCCAACGAGAGATTTGAATCAACTCGACTCAATATACTCTTATCATCATGTCCGAAGACGGCGCGCCGCCTGCAGATTCGGCAACACAAGCAGCACCGCCTCCCTCGATACCCCGCTATTTTCGAAATGATGCGCCTTTGGCACGACGAGATCCTCACAAGCAGCTGCTAGCGTCATTGGATCGATTGATTACCGACTATCCTCCGCATCATGTACCCCCAGGCGGTGGTCTATACTACGGACCGATTTCAGTAGCCTACCTCTTCTATGCCCTGCACAACATATACCCGGATCTTAAGCTGGATGACTACCCCTTGAACACATGGTCTGCGGCTTACATCGAACAAGCTCAGGCTCATATCAAGGAGTTTCCTCCGCCATCTCCGAAGAAATGCGGTATCTCCAACGACATCATGTCTCTGCTTGCCCTGTACGCCGTGACTGCACAAGACCCAGACACTGTAAAGGAGCTCTGTGATCATGCTGCAGTCATGCTTGAGGACGAGACCTCCAACGAATGGCTATACGGTCGCGCTGGCTATCTGTACCTCCTCCGCTTGGTCCGCGGGGCGTTCGCTCACAACAAGGACGTGACCGAGCTCATCGAAGACACGGCCGATGAGGTCATCGAGAACATCATGCAAAGCCCGCGTCCCTGGAAGTGGCATGGGAAGGCATACGTGGGTGCCGTTCATGGCGCAATCGGTATCATTACACAGATCGTGCTCACCGACCCTTCCTGGGCATCTAAGCTGGAGGCCGAGCTAGGCGCCCTGCTCAGCTATCAATACGAGAGCGGCAACTTTCCTTCATCTCTCCCACCAGGTCGTGACAAGCTTGTTGAAGTCTGTCACGGCGCACCGGGTGTAGTCAACTCCATTCTCTCAATCCGAAAATATTTCCCAGGACTTCAAGACCGCATTGATCGGGTTGTCGCAAAAGCTAGAGAATGCATCTGGGAAAGAGGCCTGCTCACCAAGGAGCCATGTCTCTGTCACGGCATCACCGGAAACGCTCTCGCTCTGGACGGAAAGCAATTCGAACACTTCTTGACGTACACCACCGGCCATGAGATCAAGTCAATGGCCAAAGACGGAATGCTTGAGAAATCGGAAGATCCATCTTCCCTATGGTGTGGCGAGGCAGGTCGTGCCTGGGCCTGGGCGGTCGCGGATAAAGATCTGCCAAAGACGCTTCTCGGATATAACGACATCTAACCACTCGAACGGAAACTTCCAGCATTTCGACTGGCACTTTGACGATACACACGATGTAATGAACGAGATGACCGCCAGGCGGTTTGCGCATGTGGCCCCATGCGGAATACTTGTATGAGGATACACAACGCAGTCAGCTACGGCTAGCGGCACGAATGACCTGTATTAGCGTCTCAATTAGGAACCATTTAAATCAGCAATCAACTATTTCTGGAGTCTTGCAACGTTCCACTATCATGTATGCGAATCAGTTTACCTTATTCCCCGCCGTCGGTCGCCGTAAGCATCCGCTAGGCGCGTCGGTGCTTTGTCGAGCCTCAAACGGCACGAAAGATTAACGGAAAAGCTAGGATTGTGGAGACTTTACTCGCGACATCTCCTTCGGGGGATTCATGTTGGGCAATCTCCGTAAGCCAGACACGTAGCCGCGCGGGGTACACAGCATGTTGCGCATTGCTCCACGCGCCGTGCAACATTGAATGCAGAGATCCGCGGGTGTCACCGAACGCCGACAAATGGCACTACCATCTTTTATCTGTATATTGAGTTGCGGATTAGGCTGAAAAGCTTATGCGTCGTGCGAACCATATTTGGCGTTGACAGCCAGCATGCGTTCCGAAACCGCGGTCGAAACTATGTAAGATTGCTTGCGGTAATGTATCCGGCTGATGTTTCACACAACGGCTATTCGCGAAAACCTTGGAGCGATGTTATTCTGTGTTCCTACGACTTGATAACTACCGGTGCGGGAGAGACAAGGTCGTGATCAGAAAAGCACATTTCTGGCACGTCAACAAACCCCTTGACGATGCTTCTTTCGTCGATGCACCTTCGACTCAAACATCCCACGCTCTCTTCTATCTCAATCGCTAGCTTTCGCCCTGTAATTTAAGTCACCAACTGTCATCGTCGCATCTCTCTTTTCCGCTTCTAGAAGAACGCCAGCGGGAGGGTAAACTTACAACGCACCTGCCACGCCTGCTCTCATACTGCGTTGCTGCATTAGCGGTATATCCTCCCATAACAGCGGGCAACTCACATTTCTCGTGCTGTATTTCTCGTGTTCATCGCGTCACAAGGTGAGTGCGTCACATTCCACCCAGCAAATTCCTTGGTTCAGGGCACGTCTTCGCTACCACATCTCTTGTCATCACAACAACAACACAGGTCTGAGAGGCCAACAACTCTGGCCCGCAATACGCTCTGCTGTCGTATTGCGTCCTATGCGACGTCCAAATGCTTTCATCTTGGGCTCCTAAACCTAGTATCTCGACTGTGGATGACAGGCGCGATCGTCACTCACTCTCACCGCATATGACCTCAATGTGGCTAGTCTGTTTTACACGCAGGGACTGCAGACTCTGATGTACAAATACATATCTCTCTGCTCCCCTCTGACCGGCTCTCCGCAGATACACCCTTCATTTGACGCGACAGTCGCTCACCATGCTCATGCCGTGGCTCGCTCGATATTTAATACCGTGGCTTTTGATATCATACGTCACGTGTACGCCTGTATCGGAGAGGAAGAGCTCTCATGCCGTCCGGCAGTCCGTAGTGGGCGTAGTGACTGGAGTGAAGTCGCGAGACGAAAACGGTGAGTATCCAGTTAGATCGCACGTGTATCAATCGCCGCTAACTTTGCACAGGCAATGTTTATGTGCGCCGGGAGGTGAGGGACTTGAAGAACAACGCGCCAGACCAATGGAGTCTCTACATCTTGGCGCTGCGACAACTTCATACAACTTCCCAGAACAATCCCACCTCGTTCTACGGTATTGCATGTGAGTGCATCCGCTATCCGCATGGTTCATCGCTTACTAACATACACATCAGCGATACATGGAAGGCCTTACGACGTTTGGGGAGATGCACCAGGAAAGAAAAACAAGATTGGCAAGGCTGGTTACTGCCCACATGGCAATGAGTTGTTCTTGGGTTGGCATCGCCCGTACCTTGCGCTATTCGAGGTGAGCTTTATACCTTCGCGCCTTCACCTCTCCCTGGAAGAACAACGACAATGATACTGACTCATTGTAGCAATCACTGTCAAGCCATGTCTACGATATCGCTAAAAAAGCACCCGCCGATCAGATCGAACGGTATCTCAAGGCAGCAAACGAATTCCGCATACCTTACTGGGACTGGGCCCAAGGTACCACTATTGGCCCCGTTCCCGACTTCTTCACAGCCCCGGAAATAGCGGTGACGGATACGGACGGCAGTCTGACAGTGGTGTCAAATCCGCTGTATTCCTACAAGTTCAATCCCATACCTGCTGGCTTTGATCAAAAGGTAAGCGATCCTAATTTTGGAAGATCTTGGGACAAGATTTCTAATCTATCATGCAGTGGGCCTCTATGAGTTCGACGATACGCTGGCCGAGCGACGCGACCGCCAATGCGACATCGCGACAATCGATGTTTGTTGGTGCCTTCAATGCCCAGTCCACCAATCTGATATCTCAGGTTGGTGTTGCTTTCCGCGCAAGCACTTTCTCGCGATTCTCTAGTATACTAGAAGACCCGCATGGTTGGATACACGGCGTTATCGGCGGTGGCTACGATCCCACCACCTCTTCACCTGGTCATATGTGGCCGCTGGAGTATTCGTCGTACGAACCCCTCTTTATGTTACATCATGCGTAAGTGCGCTTAATCCCTAGGATCACATAAGCTAACAGACCTTCAGCAACGTCGACCGCCTACTCGCACTATACCAGGGAGCGCACCCCGATCTTTGGATGGAGAAGTCAAGCATAGGACCGCACGGCAACGTCTATCTTGACGACTACCAAGATGTTGACGCAAACACAGAACTCCTCCCATTCAGAAAGGACCCTGGCAAATTCATGACCTTCAACGACTGTCGCAACACCGCTGTCCTAGGCTATGCCTATCCGGAAACGAAGCGCTGGAAGTTCGCATCAGATCAAGCCTATCAGGCAGATGTCACAGCGCAGATTGCAAGGATGTACAGTGGACGCGCCCGCGCACAGAGCAAAGTTACAGTCATGAGTACCAAGCCGACGCCATTCGGAGAAACACTCGAGGGCAACAATGGCACATACACGGATTGGACTATCGAGACACAAGCAATCGCTTCCAAACTTCCACCATCATTCATCGTCAAGTACTCGCTCGGCGGCATGTTCAACTCCGATCCAGTTGTCGACGTGGGAAGCTGGATGATGTTGATGCCGGAGCGACTCGACGACGTGCACACCGAGAAAGATCCCTCAACACCGGAGAAGTTGATGAACGGTACAACAAGTATCACACCCTATCTCGTCGAGCAGATCGAGAACAAGAGCTTGAAGAGCCTGGAGCCCAGCGACGTGGTGCCTTTCTTGACCGAGAAGCTGACCTGGAATGTCTATGATGTGAGTCCACCCCACGTCATGCCTGATATCAAAACTGACTTATGCTTCTAGCAAAATGGTGAACGTGTCAAGTTCCCAGACCAAAAGACTCTTTCGGTCAAGGTATTCAGCACCAGCGCGCGCGTGCCAGACAACGACGAAGAGCCGATCGAATACGACGAGGGAAGCACGGCTTATCCCGAGATCACGGCAGGTAAACATGGTGGTGACAAGATGGGTCCCCCGGGAATGATGCCTCCAAGGTTCTAGGGCCTTTGCGCACTCAGCAACTTGCCTTACAGCGTTGGTAGCTTTCCTTGTGTCCTTCCACGTAGAAAGTAAAGTATGGTAGCAAAACATACTGGGTCCAACATTCAGCCTTTGCCTATGATTAATTGACTGGAAATTTGATCCCAGCAACAACGTGCTTAACGAAGTCGCAATAGTGTCTTTTCCGGCAACAGAGAGCAAGCTGTAGACCTCTTCGGTGATGCGTCACCCCCGGACATATGCCGATCTTAACCCCATCCGCTAGCCTCGTACCCCTCACATGCAATCTGATTCGCTGAGCCGAGCTTCAGACCTCAGCACGGCGCTTTTCCGAAGAGCTTGTCACTCCTTGTACATACTTAACCACCTCAAGCATTACTCAAGCGCCATCAGCCGTATCCCCAGTTGATGCAAAGACTCTGCGCAGATGTCCTCCCCACTCCTCCGCAGTTTGCGAACCTTTCAATCGGCCCGCCTAGCCGCACTACACCCACGGATACATTTCCGCAGTCTATCAACCATCGTCACAACATCGTATCCATTTAACCAACGGCACACACTCAAAACCCCTCAAATCCAAAAAGCAAACCAACCCAGACTCTACAGCGATCAGCAACAACACCAGCCCTTCAGCACAACAACAACCGCTAAAATGTCAACAGACCCCCCACCAAAAAAAGACTGGTCAGCAACCCAATACCTCAAATTCAACAACGAGCGCCTCCGCGCCGTCTACGACCTCGTCTCTCAAATCCAACCCAACATCACCAGCTCAACACCGCGTATCTACGACCTCGGCTGCGGACCCGGAAACAGTACAAAAGTCCTCCTCGATGCGTTCCCCTCTGCGCGCATCACAGGCATGGACAGCAGCCCAGACATGCTGAAGAAGGCGACTGCGGAGTTCGAAGGCAAAAACAGCGTAGATTTCACACGAGGGGATCTGGCGACGTTCAAAGCAGATGGGGAGACGGATGTACTTTTCAGCAACGCGGTATTCCACTGGCTCCGGTCTTCCGAACGCATTCCCACGCTCGCGCGCCTCTTCTCCTCGCTGAAAAGCGGGAGCGTAATAGCGATCCAAGTCCCGGATAACTACCACGAGCCGTCGCACCGGATGATGCGTGAGACAGCTCTCCAATCAGGGAAGGCGTGGTCGGACTCCTTCGCGGATACGCAGATTGGCGATTTGAAGGACACGTCAAGGCCGGATTTGGATCCGATTGAGGAGCCGAGTGCGTTTTATAATGCGTTGGTGGGAGAGGCGAGTTTGGTTAATGTGTGGAGGACAAAGTATATGCATGTGCTCAAGGATGCGGGCGCGATTGTGGAGTGGGTCAAGGGGACGGGGTTGCAGCCTTATTTGAATAGGATTGAGGGGGAGGAGGCGAAGAAGGCGTTTTTGGAGGAGTATGAGAAGGGACTGAAGGGCGAGTATCCAGAGTTGGTGGATGGGAAGGTGCTTTTGGGATACCCGAGACTGTTTGTTGTTGCTGTGAAGAAGTAGAGTGGCTGAAGTGCATGAGTTGATGCAGGAAATTATACTTTAGTATCTCTGCCTATACACATGCTGGTTTTATAAAGCTCCTAAGACATGCCTGTATAGCTTCCTTTCCTGTCGCTCGCGATCGGGTACATAGCTTATCGACGAAGAGTGCGTAGTGGATATGACCAAACATAGCGAGCTCCTGATTCTTGACATGTATTTGCACACAGGCTGTGTAGTGCTCACGTTGGCTCCTTTCAGAGATCGTGTTTCGTGCATAGCCGACATATCCGCAAGTCACACCCTTGACAGCCATTGACCCAGCGGTCCATGAATCCGCAGTGATCACACTCGGTATTCTCACCCTGACTCACGTAGTATCGGTCGAACACATGAACGTGATTCTGTCTGTTCCTTCTCCGGTTACGCCGTGGTTGGGCTCGAGGTAGATTGGCCTGCACGTTCGGTTGTGGAGCGGCACTAGGTGCAGGTGGGTTTGCGAACGGAAGAAGCGCCTCTTCGTTGAGAATGTTCGCAACCCTTTGAGCAGCATTGACGGCGGGTAATAGTGCAGCAACGAATCCAGGGACGCGCGGCGCAACGTTTGCAGGGTTGACGATATTTGGGGCGGCGTTGTTGGCGGGTATCGGTTCAGGCGTAATATTCCGCTCGTCCCAAGTTGGGCATTTACATGTACGCCACCTCTTGAGACAAAGGTAGCAGAATTGATGTTGACAGCGGCACCTACAAAGTCAGTTCAATGTAGTAAACGTGGAACGGTTATACGTACTTGATGTGGTAACAGCCAGCCTCGAGCTCTATCATCTCTTTGCACTTTGGGCAAGTCTTCCAGCGCTTGGCTTTTGCAACTTCCATGAGCTTCTTGACGTCTTGGTCCTCAAGACACAGACCGGTATGCTGCTTCTTCTTGCATGTGACACACGTCTTCTGGGTACACTTCATGCAGGCGGCTATGCCTGCTGCGATGTTGCAGGGTCTGACCCATTTGGCGCACATGAAGTTGCTGCAATACGTTCGGTTTGGCGTCTCCAGTTCTTCTCGTTTGGCCACATATCGAGCGAAGAGCGCGGGCGGTAGAAAAGGGATACAGGCAAAGACCGGTAGGGTCTGATTACAGCATCGCGGTGGAAATTGCGAGGAATCTGTGATACAAGCTTCGAAAAGGCCCATGATACACTCGCGGCAGTACGCGTGACGTTCAGCGTCGCCAGTACCTTTGCATTGAAGTTGGATCGTGTCTCGGATGGGGTGCATGTCGAAGCATGAAGAGCATGTCCGAGACGCCACAAAATCAGGCTGAGCTCCAGTCGGGGCATGGTCTTGCTTACAGACCGTCTCAGACGATGGCACATGCGTGGCATCTGCAACTGGAGCAGCGTCGGCCTGAGAGTCAAGCTTGGTACGCTTGGTTCGTCCGTCATCTTCCTCCCTGAGTATTGCTGGATCAACGCGAGCAGCCCGCTTCTTGAGTGTACATTTGTGCGTATATGGTGTGATAGAGTTTCTGTCCTCGTCATCCACATCGTCAACACGCGCACGCTTAAAGTTGCTGGATGCTGAAGTTGGCCTCGCATCGTCCTCAGCAGGACGCTTCTTGCTGTGGAGAGGCTCGAGCCTGGAGGGAGCAATTTGAGTACCGCTGAGATCGAACCGGAGGTTGTTGCTAGCGAGCGTTCGGTGGTCGATGGGTTCCTGCCTCTGTGCTGCTGCGTTGTTGTGCACGCCGTTGTCGACCGACACCATAGGACGCTGAGGTACCGGCTGGCCAGCAAGTGTGCAAGCCATATCATGGTCACCTTGACAACGTTAGTCTTGATCCGAGTACGATGGGTCAGGTGCTTGCACTCACGTTCAGCTTGCTGCTCCTCGTTTAAGAGCTTTCGAAACGACTCTCGGCCAGCATTCTCTTTCCTGATCATGTTGTGCGCGAAGATACGACCGTGTACCTCTTGCCATTTCCTCGTGAGCTCATCGCGGAGCGCGGCGAAAGCGACTCGCTCGCTGTTGACGGCACCATCGTTGCTAGTGCTGGGCAAAGCCTTCAGGATGGCGTGTACGTCGTCCAGTTGAAGCTTCAACACGATCCGAGTAGTCTCGGGATCCATCGTGCGGATAGCGCGTGATGCGAGTGGAGGCTACGGCAGAGGCAGGTAGCGGTAGCCGCGGTATGAAGGTTTCTGGAAGACAGATGCAGCTGCGAAGTGACGCTCTCTAGCAGTGAGCGATGAATGCCATGTCAGAGCGAGGAAAGTGAAGTGAAAGGAGATATCTTTCGGTGAAGTGAGGTTTCACTGCAGGTGAGATGAGTCTTGCAAAGGTGGTTGTCAACAAGTGGGACCGCCGGGCTAGTGAAGATGAGGAAGCCGCGTCCCTCGCACCGTAAACAACAAGAAAAAGGATGACGTAGAGAGTGGGAGAATGATCAGATACCTACACCGGCTTCTAAAGCCATCTACCAACAGTAGGCAACGCAAGTCTCTGAAGACTACATCGCGCGACCTCATACATTATCTCCACCTTCGGCTCGACTTCTACTGCAGCAGCGTATGCAGCTTCCATGCAAGCTCAGCCATGCAAGTCCACCCATCCCCCAAATCCGTAGTACTCTTCACACTCTCAAACACCACCTCTACAAAGCACTCCGCACTCCGCACTCACACGCGCATAATCGCGCCCACCAGTAAACAATGCCAAGATCGTATATGGCACAATGTGATTACCCAGAAAAACGCCCATACCAATGCTGCCAGCAAAAAAAATGTTGTTCCTTCCAGTAAAGCATCGCGCAAAGCGCAGGATGCCCTACAATGCAATCAAACAGGTTTCGTCAAACTTATGCCAAGCCGATGCGTGAGAAGATGGACTGGGCCAGTCTAGATGTCATAACGTAGACTCTGGCCAGGGGTATAGAATAGAATTCGCCGCTCATTGAATGCTTTTCGCTCAAGCCATGCATAGATGGTTGCATGCAATCAACGCCTTGTACTCCGGGAGGGTTCCAAAAAGAGAGTGGTCGTGTCTCATCCAGCGCCCGCGGTGCCAATCTGTGTGTGTTTTTGGAAGCCGGGCGAGCGGTAGCTGTGCCGATGAGGCGATGCAGTGCGGTGGCCGTCGGAAGAAGCTTGGGGATTCTGGGCGAATGCAGGGTTGGGTGTATTTCGGTCGTACCCTGGTGTGGGGCTGTGCTGATTGCTGCCCATAGGTTGAGCACCCCCGCCGGGGATCTGGCGAACGGACGCTTCGCCAGCTTGAGCCGAGGGGTTATTGTCCGCCGTCGTAACTTGAGGCGAATTGCGCTGGTCTTTCCTGGAAGCTGTGCCGGTTTGGTCTCTGGGTGACGGCGTAGGAGCTGACAGAGGGTTCTTCCCCCGCTGCTCCCATTGGCGCATGATTTCCTTCGCGCTCATGTCGGACACTTCATCGCTGAGTAGTTCCATGATCTCGGGAGGTACCTGTTGACGTTAGTATGAAAGTGGATTGGTAGTATGGCGGAGCAACATACCTCCGAGAACTCATCGTTGTTTTCGATGAGATCAAACACGACCTTGACCGCGCCTTGATCCACACTCTTGACTTCTTTGTCGTTGCTCTCTCGCAGAATGTTGGGAGCCATTACGGTGGCGATGTTCCAGGTGTCCATCTTGTTGCCCGTTTCTTCGTCCACAGTGTGGAACGATGAAACCCAGTTCAGGAAGCAGAACAGGACTTCCATTGTGTCGCGGTGGGCCTTGGGCAGCAGGCAAAGCACAAGATGCAAGACCTTCTTTCTTTGTGCCTCATCCTCAATGTCTGTTACTGTTAGTCAAGCACGACACGTAAAATGAAGCCACTTACCATTAGCCACCATGAACAGCCTATATAGCTTCAATGTCAATACCGGCTCAGGCATCAACCTGAGGAAGCGCTTTAGGAGATTGGCGAGTATGACCGGGTTCTTAGTATTCAGGTCGACCTTCTGAACACCATGGGCGTCAATCTCTTCCTCAAGTTCGCGTAGAGCTTTGAGGTTGCCGTTCTTCCTGAACACACCCTCGATGGACATGTCCATACTTCTCATCGCAGTGATACAATCCTGAAGCAGAGCTGGAACTTTGAGAGCGCCCGGTCCTACACCTTCCGTGCACTCATCACCATACTTTTCCACGAGGTACTCAAGCGACTGTCGGAAAGTTGCTTTGTCGGAAACTGGCTTCTCGACTCCTGTAACGCCCTTCTTCGGCTTGCTTTTGTCGGCCTTGAACGCTTTGCCGAACCCGATCTTGCCCCAGAAGTTGTTTTTCTTCGACTCGATGAGATCGAGCAAATCGCCCTGGTTGTACTGATTGTCGTCGAGCAGAAGGCCAAGCTGGAGTACTGCAAGGCCCTTCAGTTTGAAGTATTCAAGTGGCGACAGCTCCGAAAAGTAGGTTCGTGAACGACCCTCGGTCATCTGTTGTAGATCCTGGGCGCCAGAGAAGTCGCGACGATGGCCATTCTGCAGCTTCGGTTGATCTTCTCGTCCCAGTAGTGCGCTTCCACCAGCGCGGAATGCATTTGGACGTTGCTCTCGTTGCTGCTCCAACGCAGCCATGCGAGCAATGTCGTCTAAAGCGAGAGAGTTCACAGCGAGTGTTACAGCGTCGGCGTCGCCCCCTAGCTCGCGTTCCTGGACGATTTGCATTCCTCCTCGCATCTGTCCTTCTCCTTCGAGACCCTCTGGACCGTCAATGATTCGTGATGCGCGCGCACGTTTCATCGTATTGGATAGGTGCTTGTCAAGTCGCGTCGATCGTAGTCGCTTGATATCAGACATGGATTGCTCGTAGGCGGCGTTGTTGCTGTTTTGACTGTCTGTTGCTGATGTCCCTCCATACGACTTTGATCGTGTGTCCGGTCGCAAATGCGGCGGGTCATCCCCAAGGCGATGTCCCTGTGTGGAATCATAGCCTGCCAGGTTGGGATCATCTACAAGTCATTAGTGGGACGAATGTAATCTCGGAAGCGGCTCCAGAAATCTGAGT